GGGGGGGGCAACATTTATTATGGTTTATAATGGCAAATGATACTTTGAATATTACATGTTAATAACTTGATTGGAATTATAACCTTGAGTTGACAGTTTGATACTTTGAAAATTTTGAGCCAGCCCTACCCCCAAGGGCTGTAGGGTGGGGCTCAAGGGATTTAGTGTGCTTAAATTTCTTCATTTTCCTTGTTTAGAATCAGAGGTGCTAGTTTCAAATCCTTTTTAGTCTGAAATCTGTATGCTTGATATTGAATAATGTGGTTTTATTGTTTTTTGTCACTTTGAATAATATTTCTGTTCATGTTAAAAACGAAATCAACTCCTGTATAAATATATCAGGTGACCGTTAAGGCCCATGGGCCTCTTGTTAGGTTAAAGAAACCACATGAATGTCACGTTTCTACAATACCATCCCAAATGGGTTTTAATTGGTATAAGACTCTATTGAAGATGGAGGATGTGGTGTTCGCATAAACCACAAAGATTTCCTGTCAATATATTATATTGAAGAAACAGGATGTCATAATATATTACATTTAAAGAAAGTATTTAAAAATGGTAGTTTATACTCCTGCTTAACGCTCAGCAAATTAGGAGTGGGACGACTGGTTCGCCCGTTGTCAGTATAATGTGACCGGGTGGGGCGTCCTGCTTGGTGTCTTCGGCAGAATGTTTCAGTGAGGTAGCACTATAAAGTAGGCATCAGTTTCGCGCTATCACAAGGAGACAAACACGAACATATCGCAGCCTCCCAATATACACACACATACACTACACGCATGCATCTTGCACCCAGGGGAGGCCGTCCTTAAATGACCTTAGCTGTTAATAGGATGTTAAACAAAATCAAACAAACAAACAAAAAATTAAAGAAAGTACAACCATTTGCAGATGCTCGTTAAAAAAAAAAACGCAGCTATTTCCTGTTTATATAGATTGCTCTAAACTCCATTAGGAATCGGATGTAGATATCAATTTAAGATTTCAAGAACCCACACACAAAAATTTACTTTTAACCGTGACATCCAATCAATTTGACCAATCCCGTCTTAAAAGTTGGCTGTCTAATTTAGTAAAACCGCAAAATATATTTTGCGTCTACTCGGTTTTATAGGTGTCATTTTTGAAATGTAAATGTAACGTTAGTTCATAATCTGGGACTAATAGAGCATTCAAATCGGCTGATGAAAATTTACGGGAACCCATAAGAATATTTAACTCTACAAAATGTTTTAAGAAGAATGTATTTAACTTACTTGCCTTCTTCAGTGTCCTTCCCTTTTCGATTTATTTTCATAGTGTTTCATTCTCGACTTATATACGTTTTTTTTTTTTTTAATTTACATCGTAGGTGGAATGGTATGTTTAGGGATTGTATTTGTCTTCAGTATGCCATATTTTAGGAAGTCATATAACATCATGAAATTGTTTGGGTTGGAAGCTTACTCATTGAAAAAAACTTTGTACTCCTACCCAATATACGACGCTGCATCGTCGGAATGAAGTGACTTATAGCCATATTTGGTGCTTGACTCGGTTTGGCTAATCTTAGATACCCATATTTGGTATTGGCCTAGTTTGCTCGAACAGACTCGGAACAGTTCTCTTGAATATCGACACGTACAAACGTGATATGGCTTGCATGTGCATGTTATAACTTGTCACTAAATCTAGATTTAATGTTGCAAGTATGCATTGAAAGCGATCATTTCTGTGTTAATGATAAATAAACACAGTTCACCCGCATAGGCCTCTCCAGCATAGCATGACTGCGTTAGGGGTATAGCTTTTTATGGAGGAGTGTTGTATAAAAAAAAACGATTCACCTAGGTGTAGGGTACTCAAGCATAGCAAATTATGGGAGGTGAATGGAGTGGGGCTACTCGACCATTATAAGTTTAGGGAGCATATAACTGTAGTATGTATGACGTAAAAAAGTTGAGCAGGGTGCAGGCTACTCAAGCGAAGTGACGTGGTCGATCTGTGCCATGAGTCGACTGCTAGCTGGTAATAAATGCTCCTTTATATAGTACTTCTCATATGGCCGATATTCATCCGTTTGGAGGGTCGGAAGTCGTGGGGGACAAAAAGCGACGAATAGGGACGAATTGGGACCCTTAAAATGCATCTACTTTCAGTAGCTCTATAGGCCATCCGCAAGTATGGTAACTGCTCATCCCAGTTAGACCTATCTTGATCAACATATATTGAAAGCATTTGTTAGCTCACCTGGCACGAAGTGCCAAGTGAGCTTATGCGATGGTGCGGTGTCCGTCGTCCGTCCGTCCGTCCGGCGTCCGGCGTCAATATTTTACTTTAAACGACTTCTTCTTAATAACCAAAAGGCCTAGGGTGATGATATTTGGCCAGCAGCAAACTGGGATGAAGGGCTACAAAGTTTGTTCAAATGAATGATCTTCACCCATATTCAAGGTCACAGGAGTCAAATATGTTAAAAACTTTAAACATCTTCTTCTCAATAACCAAATTGCCCAGGGAGATGATATTTGGCCTGTAGCATGCTTGGATGAAGGGCTACCAAGTTTGTTCAAATGAATGACCTTCAATTATATTCAAGGTCACAGGGGTCAATTGTCTTAAAAAACCTTTTAACAACTTCTTTTGAATAACCAAAATGCCCAGGGTGATGATATTTGGCCAGTAGCATGCTTACATGAAGGGCTACAAAGTTTGTTCAAATGAATGACCTTCACCCATTTTCAAGGTCACAGGGGTCAAATATGTTAAAAAC